GGTGAAAGCTATGATAAATTAGAATCCTTATTTTAAATTTTGCTGTACTACATATTGCTGGTTAAGAACGTCAAGGTCCTTAATCTGGCATTTGTTATATTTCTTCCTGGTCTACAGTATAAACAAAATAATATTTCCTATGTTGAAAAGCCCAGATGTGGCGCCGCATCCAGAAATGGCGTGCATGGCAAAAATAACATTTTTAGAGGTCCTAATTTATGTTGAAATTGTTAAATATCCGTGACTTTATTTGGTTATCAATTGCCTGGCCGTAACATATATAAATTTTGTTTGGCATAGTGACTTAAAGAACTAAATATTTTTGAAAAATTTGTTTTTATTTCAATCAGAAATTAAAAAATTAAAGTCTTTTTAAAAATAACCAAAATTAATATCATAACTTCGCCACTGGGTACAGGAAAATATATAGGTAGGTTTTATAGGAAAATATATACCTATATATATATGCTTTAATTTTTCTATCTTCATATTTTTCCCTAACTAGCTTTGATTTAAAGATACATATTCCCAAAAAACAACAATAGGCATTTTCAACCCTTTAAGGGTTTTTTTAAGGGTTAGGTGTGGGTAGGGTTTGGAGATATTTTATGGATCTCAAAACATGCGTTTACCCTGATCGAGTTTCAAAGGTGATCTTTCGATCCCACTTTCCAATAAATCAATTCATGGCGAAAATTTCATTGCAGTTCTCTATATACAGCAGATCCTCAGAGGGAATCAAACTCTAACTCGATATCTAGTAATAACCCAGGCGTTAGTGGTGCGGGAACCACAAATTGTTCTTTTACGTTCCAAATAAATAATTATGGTCAAATTTATGTTGGGGTTTTTAATTAATTGTTTGAAGCTGTCAAATTTGGTGTATAAATAACAGTCCGATAAGTGTTGCTTAGCGACACTTACGGACTTTAATTGATAGTAATCGAACATCTACGGGTAACGGGACAGTATGAAATACAAGAAATAAATCGAGTAAGTACCTAATATGTGTAAATAATTCCTCATTCAATTGTCTTATCAATGTCACATTGAAATGAACTGACTGAACAACGGAGTAGGTACTATACGCGTGTAAGGTAGGGATAGCACGTGATACTTTATCACTTTTAAGCTCCACCTTTACTGGCAGTTTCGAATACTTCGTCTCCTACCGCTGCGTCCCTTAGAAAGTACTGGAGCAGCTCCCGATTACTCTTAATATTCTTTTGTAGAGCTTTGTATCACTTGTGCTTCAACGGTTTGTAGTGCATAGTACATTTCCAAAATTCATATCATTTCGTTCCAGTGTTCGAATGAATATACGGCAAGCACGTGCCACGATTCTGTCATTTCACCATAAAAAAACAATTAAATTTCAAAATAGGTGAAACCACTGAGTCATTTTTCGATTTTTGAAAAACTTATGTTAACCTATAACAGTATGTGACGGATTAGGGTCACTAGATTTGTTTAAAATTCAATTTTTATAAAATCATGGCCGACTACGAAAACGAATATCCGAAAAAAATAGTGTCAATTCAATAAAATGGGAATAAGTCAGAAACTGTTACAGCTATAGGAACATGTATTGTCAAAATATGCCCATTTCGATTCTTTATCTCATGCAATAGTAAGAAAATGGTCACTCCATTTAAAAAAACTGAGTTTTTAGTCTTTGAAGTTTCATAAATTTGGATCTCCATAGGGGCGGTCGTACGCAACTTAAGTTTTTATTAAATGCACTAAAAGAAAGCCCTATTCATTCTCTATGCACTGAAATAGGTTGCCATGACTACAACCGTTTTCAAGTAATCAATTGTCAAGGTACCATCTGCATCCACCATTTTTTTTCTTAAAGTCAAAATAACTTAAAAACCATAAATGGAAGATATCGACATATGGGTATCACAAGAACTGAAATTTTACGTAGAATCCAAAAATCCAATAAAAAATAGGGCTTGCTATTTAAAATAACGAAGTTACTATCTACTTCCGGCATTTCCGGAAGTGCGGCCATTTTGAAAATATTTTACATCGATTGGGTCTTCAAAGTAACTCCTATGTACAAATTTTCAAAAACCTACCGATTTTACTTTCCCAGAAACGTTTAACTAAAGTTCCCAAAAAAACACCCTGTATAGAAATAGCGGGTTCTGCGGGCGTGTGTGACATCCTACAACAACCATCCTCATTCGTCTCGCGAAATGTATAAATTCTAAATAATATAGGAGCAATCGAACCCGGGCCGCCCATTTTCTACAAATTGTATTCTAACGACATGTCATATGGCATCGTTGTTGACTATAAGAGCCTGTAATGTTAAGTCAAGGTGAGACAAACTATAGTCACCTTCAAATGACATGCGCACTAGAAAATCTCCTTAAGATTGTTAACCTTTGGGACCTCTATTTAGTTTTAAAAGTCGTCGTCAGGGGGAGATGACGGTGACCTCTATTTAGTTTTTAAAGGTGCCATCAGAAGATGACTGTGACCTCTACTTTTCTCAAAATTACCGATAGGGGGCGAAGTCAAATAACTTTCAGTAAAGTCACTAAATATAGAAAGTACCGCAATGCATTGGGCTCGTGTGTTAGAGAGAGAACGCATGATTTTTGCCCAAAAATAGCGGAAGTTACCAGATTCTAGTAACTCTGTATATATTTTTATAAAACATGACAGTTAGGTTATAAAAAATTACAGCTATTCAGATTTTATTTGTCAATTTTTTTTAAGTTGGCAGCAAATTTGCCCAAAAATGGCGGATGATTGCAGTACTTTCTATATCTAGTGACTGTAACTTTCAGAAGTTTTGAAAATCGTCTTATGAAATTTTACACGGAGTTGAGTTAGGATCGACTCGCGACCCTTCTGAGCAGTCGAGACGTGGTCGTGGGCGGCGGGCCGCTGCGTCCACAGACCATCAACAGATGCGTCTTCTAGAATCTAAATGACCCGCGCCAATGAAATCGTTTTTACTAGCCAAATGTAACAGTGTTACAACTGGACGTTGCAACAGGCTCCTTCTATGGCAGCGCCACCCATACAATACGATGGGTCACCTTTTTTTTCGGAGAATCTGAATCTGTTACAAGTATTTCTATAACGTGCTAGATGTAGAAGCTACAGGCTACTACTTTCTTATTTCTTATGGGTGCCATATTGGATGTTTACAGAATGTGATAGAGGACAACAAAAAACAACAAATAAGTGAAAAAAAGACACTTTCAAAACGTGTTGTACTTACACGGAATGTTTTTGCATAGTGATCCTGAAACCCATAATTGAATAATATTAAATTGATACTATTGGTCAAAGATAGGACTAAACGCCATCGAAACGTATAGTAAAAATTGTGAAAAAAGTAACATTTTCCATGTGGTTTTTTGAAATAAAAGTTCCGTAATTTGATTATTATGTTAAAAAAATCCATAATAATATGTTAATAATCATCTACCCAAGCAAATAATGAAAACGAAATGTTATTACCTCCCATATTTTCGTATTTTTCTCTGAAACGGTAAGGAAATTTAGAACAAGCAACAAAAGTTTTTCCTCCTGTAGTCAATTGGGGGACATATGGTATGTTGTCCCTTTAAAAAAAACCCTGTATTGGCTTTTACAATGACCACCAAATTTTTTTGTGATGACAGGTCAACAGACAAAATATGCATGTTCGGATTACTATACACGGTGTCCATTTTTCGAGTGCCACTATGGGGATCTCACTTATCTTAAGAGATAGAAGGTTGGTTAAATGGGGGTAAAGTTGCTAATTTTCGGGCTGAATAAGAATCTGAAAATAAATTTAAAATATCTTCAACAGTTTTGAAGATATCGCAAAAAAACGAAAATGTCTGATTTTCGTTTTTAATTTTTTTATGATAAACTAATCTTAGTAGACATTTCTAATTAACAGATTATTTAGACACTTTTTAATGGAGATTTCAAATATGGCATCCAGAATTTAATAACTTTCAAGATGACGGAGAAACACGTGGCAACTTTAGTTTTTCTTATGGGCGCCATTTTGAATGTTCACATTTTGAGATTACGTCTTTTTTTCTCTTTACAACGATATATCACACATGGTGGTTCAGTATCACATTTTTCCTAAAAATACAATTTTTAATTTTTTGAGAAGAGTGTAACTTATTTTCTCAAAAAACAACCATTTAAAATTGGTACCGCATCAGCGCCTTAAGTCATATGACCTGAGGCGGTAGACGGTCGATTTTAGCAAACTCTGATAGGCCAAAGTAGAACTCCATCGGTTAAAATTTTGTTCACTCTCGTTCAGTGGATTTCGAGCTAGCTACCCTGATCGTTTAATTAGCACGACTATCCCCCAAGCAACGTTAGAATGAATATTTGACAACACTAGAGTGAAAATGTGCTTGATAAATTAATTTTCTTTAATTAATTGTTGACTATTGTTTAGTGATCATTCAATTGATCCACCACTGCTTTTAAATAAATGATATGTGATATGTTACCAACATTATAAATGTTTAGTTGTGTGGGAAATTCAAACTGTCCTCAAACATTTTGGATCACCCGGTATACGGATAATCAAACAAAACACTACTAGGACACTTTTGCTTTCAGAAAATCTGGTACAAATATTAGCTACAAAGAAGTCGTTACTGATTTTTATAAGTATGACTCAATCAACATTTCAAAACTTGATCACATTACAAATATACAACAGGCACTGGTGCAAGTTTTTGAAAATTGAAAGTTTCTTATCAGTGGAATGGTTTAAAAATGTATAAACGCGCGAAAAAATGAGAAATTTTACAAACATGAATATTTACACACTTTCATTCCCTAGGAGCGTTTGAATACCGATTGCTTTGTTGCACATAACAAATTATAATCAAATCAGGCACAGGACAGACCCCTCATAAACACTGTCGCGCTTGAGATATAATACAAACTTGAAACACCCTGTATAGTGTTACAACTTCGGTTACAACATTAAATAAAAATAGCAAAACTTTATTTAGGTCCATGTACTATAAGAGCATACCTGTAATGTGTTTTAAAATTTCCCAAACTCTTTCTGCTGATAGTGGTATCTTTTTCTCTTGCGAGTCTTCATTCACATGCTTCCATTCTGCAGTCAAATCAAGACCAGTTCTACGTATATTTGGTTGGTAACGACCGCATCCACCGTGTCCTTGTCGCTTACCTGTATTCACATTCCCATTACATAACGCTATTACTTAGGTACAGGGATACGAACCTGGATCTTCGCCTTCTTTCCCAACGTCCATTTCGTCACCACCCTCACATATATTTTTACCTTTGCACAGGTCGTACACAAAAGCCAATCGTTTCCTAGGCTGACCTTTTGACTTCATAACGACTTCTTTAATTTTAGGATTATTCTAAAATAATTTTATTAAGTACGTTCGACTGTGAAACGAAAAGTGGAACTTACAGGACTAACTAACAATTTACTACAGTAGAAGCATACACATCTTAATATTTTAATAGTTTTCGTTATAAACCCGACGTGAAAAACAGGCTTGGCTAGGTCAATGTGTCCGAAATGTCCAGGACATTCCGTCATGTTGCCCGCACAAGTTTGACATCTGGAATTTCTATCGATTACTCCTTGTCGGGGGTCCATAAGACCGCCGAGCTTTGGACGGCCCGCTTCCATAGTCTCTGGGAAACGGATGCCACCCTCCGTGACCGACATACGTCGCTAAAAAGAATGCCATTATTTCAAGCAGTTAAAAATCATTTTGGTTTTTCCCCCCTTTGTGGTGCGCCTGCGTTATTTATATTGTGCAAGAAATGTACGTCTCTATTTTATCCCTCATAACTTAACAATCTTTGAAGTGGTGAGAAATTCAATTTCAATTAAGTGGAAGAATTAAACAGAAATCATTTCAACACTTTCCACAACTTAAAGCGCACTTCTACACTTCATTATTTTTGCCAGCGTTTTCCGATAATAGAACCCAAATGGTGTGTATTTTGTTTCATAAAACTTTTGATCGCAAGAAGATGAAAATACTCACTATTTCATCTGGACTGAGGATACCAAATTGTACCCGCTTAACATATCTAAGAGGCGCTTTACTGTCGTTAGCGGCCATTTTGACGGCCACGAACAGATTGCTGAAGCGCAACTTTTCCTACTGCTGTTTTTATTTACAACTGTCACCTCAGATGCGCATGAAACGCATGCGCGTTGGTGGGAGAAATCCACAATATTACGAAGAGACATTGGCGTCGCCTTGGGGGTGGCTCGGATTTTCAAATCCCGCTGCAAATTAGTTCAACAAACCAAAAGGGTCGGGGAATCTGTCATAAAGAGCATGGTTACATTATTTACTATACTAGTTTTCTCATATAGGCAACACCGTCTTAATTACACACACGCCGTTTATGCGTTTCTTACACCAATTAGCACCACCAATTTAATACTGCAAAAAATACTAGACTTTTAAGCGCGAAATTCAAACAATCCTCACTTCTAAAAATCACACGGTAACAAAATTCAGCTAGCGAACGGGTTTCCTCATCATGTAACGAATAATTTTCGTCTTGCTCTCTGTTTCCTGTACTTATAATAAAAATTAATGACATAAATCAAAATAAAAAAAATTGAATTGGTATACAATTTGACGCATCGGTGTATAAGGCACATAAATAAAATATGGTCAAAAATACATCGCCTGGGTATGTGAATTTCAGGGTAAACGAGTCTGTCCGAAATTGTCCGGTGACACACGATGGAAGACTGTCAAACCTTTAAATTAATAAACGTCAATTACCTAGTTTTTTATGTTCCTAGACCTGTTTGCTTGAGGCAAAGAAAATTTCAACAAGGGCTAGCCGAGCTTCAAGAAGACAATCCACTGTATCGATTTCAAAATGCAACTATACTGTTCAACTGTCGCATTTATGTAATTTATTTTTAAATGTGGGGGGTCTGAACAAGGCTGTTCTACCAATTACTTATACGGATTCTCACAGTTATTTAATCATTGGGCAGTTCTGTAAATAAATACATAAATCCAGTTAATTGAACTCCTCTTTGCGATGGAGCAAGTCAAGTGTTCAAATAAAATAGGCACTTAATTATATTTTGTATGGCAGCGGCAAGTCAAAATCAGAAAAGTAAAAATTCTTTTATCATCATGATGTAGCAACTATTCTAGAAATCCCGATAGACATCGAGGCGCCGTAAAAGATTAGTCATCGGAGAGAAGCAACAAAAGCGGATGTGACACATTTTTTTCGGAAAATATGACTTGTTTGTTCAAATCATTCTAAAATATTCGGGAGCATTCGAAAAGTGAAATATTAGTGAGTGTAGGTGATATGTATTAAAATTGACTGTTATAAATTAATCAATTTCAAAAATTTATCGTTAATTATTTGGAAATAAATATGCATATACATTGATGCCATTTGTAGCATTCTCACATTTTTTGTTAAATAACAAATCGCCAAGTTGGGCCATCGACCTTATTTGGCAGATTTGGCACCTTTTCTGGCACATTGTAGCCATTTCCAAAAGCGAATGTTTTTAAAATAGGTACCTACTAGAAGAGCATCCCATCAGAAGTCTATTTCCAAGAATGTGGCACATCGTCGAACAAATGATGTCGCTGACAAGTGAAAGGCAAGGAGTATGCAATTATTCTTTGCTAAAAGCGATCATATTGACATAGCTTTGTGAAGTATAAATAAATTACGAATTCATTTCGGAGATTTTATTATTAGATCTAATACAAAAACTAATAAAAAAGTAAAAATTGATATATATTCAAGTATGAATTATACATTCAGTGCAAAATGTTGTATATAAATACTGTCAAACAATCGCAAAGATCAAAAAAGTGATCCGTAATACTGTGTAAACATGCACAATGGTGTTTAAATCCCAGTATTAAAAAAGTCCCTCCCAAAGTACCTACTAAATCAATTATCGCATCCCGGCAGCTCGCAGTTCCATTAAGGCACTTTGCGTTATAATACCATGAGTGGAATTGAAGCTGTTAAAGGATGGCACATACACATTACTTTTTGAATTTAATGCTTTGGTTGTGCCCCTCTCACGTGTTAGAAAATCACAGGAAGAGTTGTTGAACTTTTTATAATCAGACGTAGATTTGATTCCATTGAGTTCTTGAGGTAGCATATTAAATTTTTTTAATATCTTTGGTTCAGAACGTGCTTGAATGTTGTGTTTGAGTTTTCCCTTTGCGTGGCCTAGTTTAGGTTCCACAAGTGTTGCCAAAGATCTTTCTTTATCGTAATAATTGGATTTAGCGTAATTATTAATATCTTTGTAAAGCTTCCCTTGTTTATCCGTCTTCATGTCGGAATTAACTTTTAATGAAGGTCTCGATAATAATGATTTTGTTGGTCGAATGTGGTGGTGTGTAGACATGATTTCATATAATTTATTACGGTAATCGTCTACAGTCAAACGAATGTCATCGTTCAGTGGTGGAATAACATTGATATTCATCACTATTTCTTCGTTGGTATTACGAAATCTAGATTAAAGGACGTCAGTTCAGTAACTATTTAGTGAAGCATATCGTTACCTAGACACATACGAGTGTTCTAAGGCTCGTTCGGCAGTAAGTCTTTTGTATGGGCTAAATATTAAAAGATTGTTAATTAAGTCCAAAGAATCTTCTGAGACATTAGAGCCTAATAGTAATTTCAATGGGATTCTTTGCAAGGATGCTGAATTTTTGATCATACATTCACCCACACCAGATGAACATACCAGTGCAATATCTATAAACAAGCTATGTTTCAACGTGTTACTTCAGAATATTTCTACCTTCTTGTGATGGTACTGGAATAGACGCCATTATTTTTTCCACCTGGTTTACCGTCGAAGTTCCTGGAAAAATTGGTTTTCCCAAGACCATCTCCGCTAAAATACAGCCTAAACTCCACATATCAATTCCTTTAGTGTATCTATAAACATAATTTTTACTTCTCGTTCGAATAATTGGAACCTTACTTTCTGTTTGCGATTAAAATTTCTGGTGCTCTGTACCATCTTGTCGCGACATAATCAGTGAGTGTAGGATCTGTGTCATTTGGACTATTTCCAAGGGATTGGGTTAAGGATCGTGCTAACCCGAAATCTGCTATTTTGCACCTAATTGATTACATACCTAATTATTTTAACCCATAGAAGGAATCGCCCATACCTACCTGCACAAGCTATCCAGTAACACATTGCTTGGTTTTTGATCCCTATGGATAACGTTTCCTGAATGGATGTATTTAGTTGCTTTTAACATTTGGTACATGATGTAGCGCTTATGAACGTCTTTTAGAATGTTTCCCCTTTTAATAACATTGTGTAAGTCAGTTTCCATATATTCAAAACCCAAATATATGTCTCTATTATTGGCAGCTCTAATAAGTAGAATAATAATTAGTGCTTTCAACTACCAAAGATTTACCTGTGAATACTAAGAAGTTTAATTATATTAGGATGATCCTTAAATGATTTTAAAAACATAATTTCTCTAAATGTTCGTTGAGCATCAGTCTGATTACGAAACGCATCAAATATTTTCTTCACAGCCACGACTTCTCTAGTTTTTCTATCAATTGCTTTCCAAACTATACCGTAAGCTCCTTTGCCGAGTCTCTTTTGAATATCAAACCGTTTCAAAATGTGATCGTCAATCTCAGACATTTTATCTTTTACGTGTGCCATATTATTTTTATGTAATAGTAGGTAGGTAAATCAGACGAATTTTAAAAAGTTCTTAAAAATATTTCTGTTAGTAGGTAACCCTGTTACCTGTTATAAAATTAAAATCTGTAAAAATGTCATGCTTACTTCACACTTACATCAAACAATCCATTTCAGTGAGGAGCATCCTTTGATTATTTTGTCTCCTCTCGAAATGCATTACCTCCCATTATTGAATGAAATCCATCACAAACTGGTGCTTTGTTTAATCATTAAATAAGAAGTAAATAAAAGGGAAATAGGTTTGTTATTCATGACATTTTAAGTTTTCTGTTAGTTGTCATAGCAACTGGAAAGGGGCGAATGCGCATACCTTTTATACCATTCAATATTCAATTTTTTTATGTAAAAATCATATACATAATACACATTCATTTCTTTATGTTAAAGACGCGTTCGGCACACATGTAGAGTTATAGACCACTCTTAATTCAAAAATTTTAGTAGTTCGTGAAAGAAGAACCTCGTGATGTTGCATTATATAGGCAATTTTTTCGTAGTTGCTATATACCTACCTACTATTTATACATAATTACATACCTACATACAGATGAGGGTCGTCTCCAATAAACTTTTTTGTTGTTGTAATACAGTCGCTGTTTATTTTTATACAGGGTGGTGACTTGCTTAACGCATCATAGGGATTTCAATGTAAAATTCATAACATGATGCGATTATTGACTCCCCAAATTATTTAAGAGCAAAAATGTATTAAGGGTGTATTCCACTTAAATTTTAATTCTATTTGACGGGTTGCATAATACTTACTTGTATAATGAAATGGTAACGAATAAACAAAGATTGAAGAATTTACCTGCCCAACCATTGTATAAAGTAACAAGTAATTACGCTAATTTACCCAGGTCATTAGTCATTGTGACGAATATGCATATATAATTAAACATCCATTAGAAAACGCAAATCATTGTCACAACGGCCAATCCTCAATAATTTCACTTTTCCCAGTTTTTAATAAGACGTATATATTTTTTTTAACCCAGTAATATCATTCCATGAATTGTATTGACCCTATCTGGAAAATAACGCATGTAAGCGAATAAGTACCTATAAATTAGATATCTTTAAAAAAATGTACATTTTTTTACTAATATTCTAGATGTGTTACAAAAAATCGTCTAATTCGGGAACAACACAAAATAAATGAGAACTAACGCTTTTTACGCAAATTGTATCTCTTTCCGAAGGATGCTACAGGGAAATAATCTCAAATTTGTATCACACTAAAATTTTAGGGGTGTTTCAAAATTTCGTCTAATTCGGGAACAACACAAAATAAATGAGAACTAACGCTTTTTACGCAAATTATATCTCTTTCCGAAGGATGCTACATGGGAATAATCTCAAAATTTTATCACACTAAAATTTTAGGGGTGTTACAAAAAACGTCAGAAAAGACGCAAACTTTTAATTCACCCAAAAATAAATCACATTTTCCGTGTGAATTCTATTACCCAGTATATTATGGAATTATAATACGTTCTAATGAATCCGGTTTCTATTTGTAAATTAGTCCCGATAAACGCAACAATGCCGCTAATGAAGTCAGGCCTGCCGTATGATGTGTTGCCTACTGTACATTTATAAATGGTGAATGACTTCACTAAACGCTGCAAGTTTTCGTAAAAAATTTCGAATGAATATTTCGTCTAAAATGTTTTGTAATTTATTTGAAAGTTTGGTCCATGGCTCTATGGTTTGCTAATGTTTTTTGTGAGTATGCTACAGGGAGATTTTTAAAATAATTTGTGTTGACGCCATTTTACCTATAAAAGTTCACTTTTTATTGGCAGTGCCCTAAAAAATTGTTTTTTCTTAAATATTAAAATTTTGTTCTGTAGCATACTTTTTAAATGTATAATTTACACGAAAAAATTAGCCCCGTCTTTCATCTCATGTTTTACAGAATTGAGACGAAATATAAATCGCACTATTTCCGCATAAATGTTGTACTACTGGATTACACCCTTAAGGTTTTTTGTAGAAAAAAAATGTTTACGTCAATCAACCGTATTCGTTTTCAATTTTTTGCATAATAAATACGGAAAACTGGAAAAATAAAATCCCCATCTTTTTCAATAATCTGCGATGCCATGAAATTTTCTAAAACAAAAAGATATCCAGTTATCAATTAGCAGCAGTTCGAAATGGATTTTATGATCGACTTATTGGTTACTGTCTTGCAGTTAATGGTGACGTATTCGAACATTTATTGTAAATTGTTATATTAGGAAACCGTTTTTAGTAATTTGGTCTTTCTTTATGTTGAATTCGCTGTTCTAAATATAATACTTTTTGATAGAATTTGATTTGTTTTATAGCAGACATTCCATGGCATGACGGATATTGGCGTAGTTTTTGTATTATAAAATTCCAATAATCGCATGTTATGAATTTTACATTGAAATCCCTATGATGCGTTACGCAAATCACCACCCTGTATAAGTATACAAAGGAGCATCTGTTTAGAATAAAAAAATAATGTAAATCTCATTATTATACTTAGGTACCTATTATATTTTTTAATCTATGGAGTACTAGAAAAAAAAAGGCAAAATAGAAGTTATTGACGGCACCTATCTGTAGGTGGTGTTAGTAAAGTCCGAATATCTCAGAGTGTCGCAACAGGATATATTCTCAAATGGAAAAGAAGCAATGGAAAAAGGGGTATGTCGGTGAGGTCATAATTTTAAGTCCGGATTTCTTTAAAACGTAGTGTCGAAAGAGAGTACTCTTGAAAGGAAAATGAAAGGTTTGGGCGAGACCAGATCTGCCAAAAGGGTTACACTTTTTATATCCGGATATCTAGAAAATTGTGTGTCGGAACAGGGTACCTACCGTCTAAGAGAAAATGAACGGTCTGGGCGAGAGGTATTGGTTAGCACTTAGCAGTCGAAAACTTCGTCCGTTCCAGCCGCGTTTTACACGGACCGGCTATAAAATCCCCGCTGATTACGCAGTGGAAATTTTCCACTTTTTTATATGCTGCGAAAATCTTAGTCCGCGGCGTAACGGTGGCTCGATGGAGAAGATTTCATGCTCTTGGTTTGATTTCTTTCTTCAGGATCCATTCAGTGGATGGATTAATTTTGAAAATTCACAACGCGCTCTGCAAAAACGAATAGCGCAGGTTCGATAACGCGGACGGTCGCTTAACAAATAGTTCTGCAAGTTTATAATTGCGTATTTGCGACATTTGAAGCCTAGCACAAACTTTTTAAATAAATAAAATTTTGATATGCTGTAGCCATATAACCCATTGCTATATATTTGCTAAATTTATTATTCAAAAGGTTTACGTTGTGATCCGAGTGAATAAGAGTTATTTGTGTTTTACATAAGGCGTTCTGAACAATAAAAGCTTCACATAACATGCTCGCGTCATTCTATTAAAGATGTGCTAGAATTTTACATTGGAATTAACAAAAGTTAAGTAAGTATACCGAATCGACAGTATCCGCGACTTTTCCTGAATCTACCACTGCGACCGAGTACGGTACAATCATCACTTGATGTGACATCGTGTCTTTTCTGCTTGAACGAAACTGGTAACTTCATACCCATATACAAAACATTAAGCATTTCCAATGCTAAAATTGTTTAACAAACACGTACATACCTAAATAACAAAGTCATTTTCACTCAATGTACCTGTATATGTTACACTACTACGCAATCAAAAATCAGTTTCTTTCGAGCCACCTTTGGAATTTTTGTTTCCATGGGAAATCGTACTTAACTTGAACTTCCAAAGGCAACTCGACAGCAACTCATTTTTGATCTCCCGTTATTAAGTGGAATTGAAAGCAAAGCGCACGTGTGTATTTGGTTTTCTAATGTGCGAAACCTATTTACGAGTAAACAAAAAGTACCGTGCGAATTGCTTTCAGCCTCTCGGCTGTCTTTTTCAACCAGCGAATAAAACACATCATTTTCATGTCGCTTAATTTGATGTAAGTAATGTATTATTTTACGAAGTAAATCGTAGGAAATCAACCATATTAATTACAAAATGAAACAATGCTGTTGGTAATAAAATGACGAGTAAAATGCAAACAAGTTTAAACTGAAATATATTTGATTTTTGATAACATTCGTGTGAATGAAGTATGGACTTCGCAGTCAACTAATCAAATAAAATACTGTTTGTCTCTCTTCGATTACAGTGAAATCTATTCTTTCATAGCAATTTATGTTATAACTGCTCCTATAAAATAGGTACCTAACAACTGATGACCTGGACATTTTACAAAACAACGTTGCCGTCTCTGGTTGGAAATGAAGTACTTACCTATTAAATACATAACCGGGCAGCAGCGCATTGGTTAAAAAACAAAACCTCAAAAATTTGAAATTTGTAGTTTGTGTGTGGCAAGTCAAAAGTTTGGTAGGGGGTACGTAACATTTAACTGAATTTTACAATAAGCCAGCGATAAATAAAATAAAGAGAAAAGCAAGGAATTCAATTTCTAAATTACTGTGTGCTAACTGTAAATAGCCAACAGTTGTAAACAGAGGCGGAACCGCAATACTCTACCATGTCCATGTTCACCAAAATTATTACCAGAAGCCATATAAATGCCTTGTTTTCGCAAATTAGTAAGAACCATCATACCAACTACACCAAGTTATCGACATTTGTTTCAAACCCAAAACTAGTCCCAGTTTTCCATAAAGCAACACAGTTTTTGGACAATGTAGCATTATGTGACACTGTTGGAAACTATACTTACGGCAACATATTAACTGCAGCGAATGAATTATCAAAACGAATATCGCAGAAACTGGGCAACAAACGAAATTGTCAAGTGGTTTTCCTTTGTCCAAACGATGCCTCGTACCTCATCACGAAATGGGCCATTTGGATGTCCGGACATGTCGGTTTGTAAATACATTTTGCGGGCCTCCAATTTATTATTAAAATTTTAGCCGTGCCCGTCAGCAGCTTACATCCCCAAAGTATGATCGAGTATTTCGCTAGTGATAGTGAAAGTAAATTATTAATTACGATACCGCAATATTCTGAACTAATGCATACAGTAGCCACTAATACCAAAACCACATTGATGGTTTTGGATAATAATTTTAGGGAAAGTATGGTTGTAAAACAAAATTTGAAACAGGACCTGGGAGAATTGCAATCAAGAGATGTTTTAAATGATAATGCTTTAATTATTTATACAAGTGGGACAACTGGATATCCTAAAGGTAGGTATATTGATATATTTTTTTTTGTGGTTATTTGTTTGATAAAGGCTTCAGTGTACTTGTAAATATTTCTTACTTATCTTGTCAAGAGTAATGTAGCTACATGCTGTTTGTATGCTATTTAGTAGGTCAATATCAAACTGCTGTAAGACGTATCTGACTCGTTTAGTCTGAACTCTGAAAGGATATTTTAAATCGATTTAAATTGGTGAATACTTAATAGTCATAAAATAATGAAAAAATTAAAATCAAAACTGTTTTATAAAAAATTCCATCAGGGAAGATTTTTAAAAAGATGTCCTACAATTACTTAAGGTTTCCAAGAAGAATCTATCTAAGAAGTTTTCCAAAAATAAAGGTAAGACCAGACAACTGCAACAAGTTGATGGATATTCGGTAACATACACAAACGTTGTGCGGCTAATAAGATTTTATTGACTGTTGCTTGTATCTGTGTTTTCCAACTTCAGTGGAAAACATTGCTTGGTGTGAACATTGTTGTGTACATTTTCCTCGACATTTTCGATGCCATAATGTTTTTACCATATTACTTCACGTACTTTCGTTTAATTTGCTTTTTCGTTGTTATTAATTATTGATTAACCGACAGAGCAAAGCGATCCCAGCTTAGGAGAGTCGATGGTGTTCATCAGTCTGCCTGTGAACACTATAACTGGTATACATTTGAACTGATTCGGCTCAAATTTTGCACAGTTGACTTATATATGTCACATGTAAGAAACTTATTGAAAATGGGTCAAATCTCCTATAGCTAGTTCTAATTTAGTTTATTTACTAGAATGTTACCAATGTTCCTTAGTATGGGAATCTCCATAACTTCGATTTTAACAGCCAATAAAAGCAGAAATTAATTGTCTTAACAATTTTACCGGCTGCCATTTTATTTATAATGTATAAACAAATTGGGTGCACAACTTTGAATAAATAACTAAATAGTTTTTTAACGTTAACTTTCCACTACAAATATAGAGCAACGAAATGTTTTGTACCTTGGACCACACCACTTTCGTGGTAATAAATCTAGTTAAGCGCGAAGTGTGGACTGCAGCTCTTGTGTCTTAGCAATACGAGAAGGCATTTTCTGCTTAATATGTGGGTCTGTTTGTATGATAATCAACTTCAACTTTAGTCGTTCTTGCATTCTCGCACCTGCACTTTTCCATGTGAAAGTATATTAATAGTAGGCGATGCCGGATCAGAGCATGCCATTATGATGTTCTTTAGGTACATGTAATTTATCATTTTACGAATTGTTTTGTTTAAATTGAGGCGTAGATGTGTTTTTGTGCTAAACAGAAGTATTAGCGGAATAATATAATTACCATATAATTTACAAAAAAATAAATAAATATACAAATTAAATCCTGGGAGCGGACGACGCCCTCGCGCCTGTTCTAGGTCGGCGGTAGCAGCGGTTAGCGGGTCGGTCTCGGAAGCCTTGGGTGTAAGCTCAAGTAAACGGCAACTCCAAGAATCGGAGGAGTTCAGTAAATGGCGACAGTCACTTCGGAAAAACTAAAACCAAATTACGGCAAATTACCGGGGGAATGAAAGCAACAAAACACAAATGGGCGGAATCGGCGGAAAAGCGAATAATATCCCCCCCCCCCCTCTCTCTCTCTTATAATTACCTAGTGACACAGAAAGTAACAAAAAAGTAGCACAAAAGATATGTTTCACTAACTTAAAAATAAGACACACAGTCACAGTGTTAGAACTATCGCGAATAATTATAAACGTTTAATTATCTACAAAATAAAAATTTGTGAAATATGGCAGCCCTCTTGTATTTATTTCATAATAATTTAAATATAATTTCCTTTCTAAAATTTGCATTTAATTTTCAGGTGTGGTTTTAACCCATAATAACATTACCAATCAAATAGAAACATTAGTGGATGCTTGGAGATGGACAAGCAACGACGCAATTCTACACGTACTACCTCTTCACCACATACACGGACTTGTGAATGCGCTTTTGTGCCCTCTATATGTCGGCGCAAAATGTGTGATGCTGCCAAAGTTTGATGCCAATGACGTTTGGGTGCACTTGCTAGGCATTAAAACGAAACCTGAATCTCCGAAAATATCTGTTTTTATGGCAGTGCCAACAGTTTACATGAAATTAGTTGAAGAGTATAAAGCGAGTTTTGAACATGATCCCAAAATACACGAATATATTAAAACAAATTTAAGATCAAAAATTCGTTTGATGGTCAGTGGTTCGGCGCCATTGCCAGTTCCTTTATATGAAAAGTGGTTGGAGATAACTGGGCATAGATTGTTAGAACGATATGGTATGTCCGAGATTGGTATGTGCCTTTCTCAACTGTATGACTCTCAACGAGAACCAGGTTATGTGGGTGTCCCATTAAAAGGTTGCAGTGTCAGATTAACTGAGCGAGATGATGATGACAACTATAAAACCCTGCTTGAATGTACTGGTGTGAATGATAATGTTAAGGTGCGTTTAAATACCATCCCAGTTGGTGATGCTGTGGTTGGAGAACTTCATGTTTGTGGTAACTCTGTGTTCAAAGAATACTACAACAAACCTGATGTCACACGTAAAGAGTTTACGGATGATCATTGGTTTAAAACTGGCGATACATGTCAATACTCTATAGAAAAAAAAATATTCAAGATACTGGGCAGAACCAATTTAGACGTCATCAAAACTGGCGGGTATAAACTTAGCGCCCTGGAAATCGAAACAAAGATTCTAAGTCATCCAAATGTTGTTGACTGTGCAGTTGTTGGCGTACCAGATAAAACCTGGGGCCAAATAGTAGCAGCTCTAGTGGTATTTGATCGTGATCTACCTATTGATACCTTACAAACATTTCTAAAACATAAAATGGCTTCCTATGGTATACCAAAGATTTTCAAAGTTGTGAAGGTGATTCCTAAGAACATTATGGGAAAAGTTAATAAGACTGAATTATTGTCAGCCTTTCTGGCTAAGGAGGAGAAGGTGTGTGCCAAGAACTAGTTTATAATGTACTTATTCTAAATATATTTTAATATTCTAATTGTTTTATTTTTAATTTTATTTTAAAGTGGATGCAGGGTTTCAGTGTAAGTTATCTTAACCCACCCTCCCAGAGGGAACTTCAATGTCGCACCCTGGCTTTGTGCCAGGGGCTTCCTTGGTGGGACAACTTCATACTTATTTCAGTATTTTGTGTGAAGTTAGTTGAGATAAATGGTATTAGACGTACTTTATACTGGTTTGTATGGATAATTTTTATAATTTAAACATATATTGGTTTATATGTATTTGTGAGTCTAATTCCGTTACTTGGGGTATGGGAATTTCTGGTAAAAAACCGGAATTTGATTTTTACTTGGCAAGAATTATTGGATTGTTAGGCGGTGATTTTCCACCTGATTAAGGGGTAAAAATAATCAAAAGTTTGGTCGTCCGACCTGTTTTCTCTGAACAGTACGAGGCTGCTTTATCTGAGTGTGTAGGTCTTGCCGTGGATTTCCCTTAACTCCACTGGATATTAAAGAAATCGTTAAAAGAGCTATAGACAGCAGGGGGGTGGTGGAAAAACCATTTGACAACAATAACCCAAGGCGGAGATGGGTAAAAAAGTTTTGAGAAAGCCAAATAGACAGCCTTTTAAAGTGTTACAATATTAAAAGAGCAAGGGCGGCTGTTACTCCAGAACTTATATTAATGGTTATTTTAATGAGCAATCCCTGAAAGACGTACCACCTGAAATGCTGATCAACTACGATGAAAAAGTATGCAGGATGACCCAGGAAAGAATAAAGAAATAGTTAAAAAAAGGGTAAACATGTAAAAATCGCTGGTTGGATTGAAGGTTGGTTCTTTTCTGTTGCAAGAAATTGGGTCCTAAGGCTATTATAGAGGTGACAACCTCGCAAGCCACATTTCCCTTAATCATAAGGCTGTGTGTAAGGAAAACAACATACAGTTTATACTATTGCCTCCGAATAGTATATGCCAGTCGCACCTTTTATCAGAACGTTCAGCAACTGCACAATCTTATCCATTAGAGTTTCAGTTTGGAAGAGTTCCTGAAAAGATATAGGTAGGTACAAGAGAAACACAAACAGTCAGAAGAAGAAAAAAGGTGCCCACAATTCTCGGAAGAAACCTAACTGAGATGAGTGTAGTGGATGTTCTACAAGAAAATGAAGCTACAATTCAGTTTGTTGACATCCTATGGTCCTTCTGAAATGTGCCAAGTAAATAAAGAACGAAACAAAAGGAACGGAAAGATACTTGGTCTGATACATTGGGTGCAAGCGAGGATTTTTCTATCCATGATTCGTCCTGTGAAAATCTCCAAGACTATGCAGCTACCCCCAAATAAATTTACCAAGTGAAGAAGGTATGCCACCGATTGAGCAAACTGAAGTTAATTTAGACGAGAACACAGAAGAAATCTTGAACTGAAGGGCAGTAGACATCGTTATTGTTTTACTTACGTACGACCAATGAACGAAGAAAGAATTGCAGAAACGCTTCGTAGGACAAATAAAGAAAAATTAGTCCAAGTGAATACATGTAGTTATGTTTATGCGGAAATACAAAGGCATGAAAGACACCTTTATATTCCCCTGATATCCCCAATGAAGAATGTTTCGCAGAAGATAATGCCGACAAAAATTGCAAAAGAACGTTACACGTTCGCCCTAATGTATTCAAAATGAGTGCATATGTTAGAGACTGCAATTTGAAGATTTATTATTTATACGTGTTATTTACCTTAAAGCAAAAAATACTTAATTATCCTACTAGTAACGTAAAGCCGTGACAATTACAGGTGACACTGTCCTAACAGTATAATTAATAATTATAGCACGGAGTGTACCGCGTCGTTTTGGAGGCTTTCCATTGGAATTTAGCTCCAATATGGCGACCGGAACCAATGACCAATCAAAAACGAGATACCCTGTTGTCGCCACTGTCTCTATAGTCACTGTCGTTATAATTATTGACTTTATACTAAAGTGTATGATGTGTTGCCTATCACTTAAGGCGAAACAAACCATAGGATATTTTTAGTAGCTATGTTAGTAGGTATAATCAAAGAGTAGTACCATTGAATATCCGAGTTGGATATTCATTGGTAGTACTCTTTGGTATAATGTTACCATTGATGAGCGTAATATCATAATTCAATGGTAATATCTTTGTAAATGAATAAACAAAGGTTGTATCATTGTATATTTAATATACAAATGGTAATATCTAGTTAATCTGCAAATGATCTAGTAAAGTCCCTTCAAGTGCGAAAAATGGTTTTGCTTGCAGATTAGCTATTATAGCTATTTTATAGATGCACTAGAGATTACAGATACTTACAGATTAACAACAAAAAATGGTTCTTTGGTTAAATAAAACATTAGAGTTGATTGCTAAAATTAGGTAACTTTAATTTGGTAATTGGTATAAGTACTTAGTAAAATCAACTCAGTAGTAACACATCTTGTTTAAATTGTGAATATATAGATAGTTACATTTTTGAAACAAACTTATTAAATTAGGTTATTATAACATTTTTAGAACTTTACTGCAATGTACCTATTGTACCTTACATGAATCACACGTGTTTGTATTGCTCTTGTCAATATATTTTCGCACTTTAACAATTTAGAATATGTTAATAATGTGCATATTAATTATACGTCATATAGTTTAATAGTTATCACAAGTTAAATCTTTTTTTAAAATTTGTCTGCTATTCCACTGCACAACAGTATTAATTTGTTAAATATAGTTATGAGTGGGTAATGTGGAAGAGCAGATCAGGCGTGTCTGTATCTGAACATCGCCCAATTTTGTTGCCCTCTACTTATTATACTGTAATTGTGTTAATTTTTTGTTTTAGTTGACGAGTTAACTAAATAAAACCATTATTATTATTATTAATCCACAGATTTCCTACTAATTTAAACGAAATTTCGCACTTTAACATATCAGAAATTCAGAACCGTAAGTACCTACGTTAATCTGCAGATTAATCCGTCAATGTGCCAAACATTAGCGGTAACATAGATACAATTTGCTTCAGTATTGCGAGTCAAACGTCAAAAGTCTGCACGTCCGGCCGACTGTCCGTCAGTCCGTACGTCTGTTCGCACGATATACCTACAGCCCAAATGTTGTATGCTGTGTAGGGTCAAACGCATTCCAGCGCTTCTTTTGTTGCTTTGCAGTTTATTTAGAATTTTCCTTTGTTCGAAAATCTGGTTCTTTATTTATTCTATATTTATGAAAGCAATCAAAGGAAAGAGATTGTATGTATTTTTCTAATTACATAATTTTCAGAGATATTTCGAGAACAGGAATTTTGTCCAATTGCAATGTGTAGGTATACATAAATTGTATGTGTTGCTTATACATACCTATATCTAATTGGTTAGGGATGAAAACGGCGATTAATATAAAAAACAAATAATTAACTTTGTTTTGAGAGTATATATTTCCCTGTGTACTTGCATAGCATAGTGTAAGGTACATTTGTAAGTACCTATTTTTTTGTAGTTCCAATTATACCTACATCACTAATTAGTGCATAAGCAGTTAATCACTTTGTGGGTAAACAAGTTACGGTACCTACTGCTGCACTCTCGGAAATGACTGAAGTGTATTCAAATTTTAGGGATAATTAAAATTCTTTCTCATTTTATTACCTAAATGCGGTATGGCGGTGTATGAGCCCGCGCACAAGTTGTATTTTTCCCGCTAAAAATATGCGCTAAGTACGAAATTGGTATCTTTAATTTATAGATATTTTACCTTATCAAAACGTTTTACCTACCAAGATTATCTACAGTGGTTTTAGAATCAAATTTAATCCTAATCTAATCAGTAAATGATCCTTTTACGATTTGCATATTTACAAGTTAATTTTGAAGTTAAACCAAAAGATTTGATTTACCTACACAACGGAATATGAGTGGATGACTGGATGCATCAATTATTACGGAAAATTTTAAAAGACGCAGTTGCCTGAAGGATCATCATTTGTTATCGTTCATTTTTTTACACCGCTCTTTATATTTTACAAGCCAGATCCGTCATGTTTAATCTGTATTAAAAAAAGTTCATAAAAAACATACAATGTGTATCGTGTTTGATTATTTGGTAAGTACGAATCGGATAAAAAAGCGATTGCTCAATTAGAATTTAAATACGGCGCAATTAGAACATCTCGATGATCGCCGAATTGACATTAGCGCCGCTAGTTTCGCCATCTAACGGGTGGCAAAGTAAGCTATCAATCAGATTTTTCGCAAGGTGTGACTTGTGTGTGACTCTCGCGGATTCAATCATTTCAATGAAACGGCTATAAAAATTAAATATCGGATGTTCCAATGGTCGTGATTTGACGTGAATTAGTGCGTAATCGTTGAATGGATCCTTCTATATCTTGGTTTCAGCCAGAACAAGAGGGTCCTGCCAAACATTTGTGGCTTCGTTTGTGGCGAACTCAACAAGATTTAGATAATATGAATATTAAGGATACGGACATCGATGTCGAAGCCCTAAATACCATTAATACTCAGAATCAAGCAAATATAACAATCATGAACGGTAAAAGTGATAATAGTAACAATTTTTTGCCGCGAAGAAGAAAATTCGATAACCGTGCGAGTACAAGGGGAATGGGTCGCTATCCTGAAAAGGTTGTAGGCGAATTCGGCGGCTGCCCTTGGCGTAAAGAGAATTATAATTACGGAAGGGGTATAATTGGGTGAGTATTAATCCCTTTAAATCTTTCGCATTCCCTTTCAAAAACAATTCGCGTGTCTGTCATGAGATGGCCTTCGAACTAACTGACATTTGTATCTACACACGCCTTGAATAATTTCAACCTAAACTAAAAATACTGCAGCAATTTTAAATGCCTCCTGGCGGTAGCTAAAAAATAATAACAAGCACTTGGTACAGCGTACCTATGTTTGTATTAAAAAAATCGTGCGGTGTTATTCATCGACATAACCTCAGTTTTTGCGTAATTTATTTGCTGCATGATCCAAGTTTTACGTTTACGGTTGCGTAATCCTATAAGCAACGTGAGCGTGACGTTCTTTACAATAAGTTGACTAAATATGCTGTATCGCCTACTCTTCCTGTTCTTTATTTAGTTACTGAGATAATTTTAATTTTTTAATGCATTCCATTGTCAATTCCCCTAAACACCGCAGTACCTATTGTCATTTTCTGGCGCTTTCCAAAATGTGCCTGCTTCTGATCCATATTATTTGCCCATTGACGTTTGGATAATGAACTTGTAGTTATTTCGAGCTATTTTTTTAGGGCAGTAAGTAATTATAGTGCACGATTTGACCTACATCACATTGTACTCATAATCTACCTTGCTACGATTAATTTCCCTCTTCATACCCCTTTAAAAAGGAATTTCTTTTGCTGCACAGCGTGTCTCGTAAATAATGGTCTTTCGGGCAAAATAGGTCAGCAAATTGAAACGGGGGAGGAGCCTGTTTCACTTTGGCCATCCCCCTATGTACAATTATCAGCGATACGAATTATCAATAATCCACGCTTCCTTGATTGTCAAATGTCTACATATTCGCAAATTTTGCAATGCCATTAAATTTTAATTGTGTGGTATGCTGATGTAATCTATTTACAAACTTTTTTCCATAATTCTTTCCGTACTTACATTTTCCCATGTTTTTGCAACACGTCGTTAGTCTAACTTTTATCAGCGGTAGCTCACATAGCAACAATAAGATAAGTTTTGGATATCTAGACGGATTTTATTTTTGTTTAGCCAAGTAGGGTAAATCGAGGAGAGATGGACCAGTAGGAGAGACGGACCACCAGCAGTATCTTGTCTGTTGTTGCATCAATCCTTGTTACGGCGGCGTAAAATTATGAGGCAATGTTGCCGTTAATCAGTCCTACAGTTACACGCGCGTGGGTGCAGTACTTTTTAATTTATTGGGAAATTACTTTTTTATGGTCCTCGAAATTTTTCAAAGTGTTTTTCGTTGTTGAGTTATTTCACTTAAGGTAAGTTTTAAGTAGAAATTTAGACCACTCATAGGCAGATATGTATTCCGAAATGCACTTAACCTCGAAAACGCTGTGTTCAAGTAATTGCATTTCAACAGGATTTACTGGTCCATCTATCCTTCACTTTTAGGAGAGACGGACCAGTACACTATAGGTGAGATGAACCTATATCGTGTTGTTCCAGGATAATGCCGAATGAGTATACGCGTAAGCAGAATACGCCTAAAAGGGGTTGTTGGTCCGCAGAAAATTTAACTGATGCCGTTAATGCGGTAGTGTACGGTCAAATGGGTGTCAATGAAGCAGCAAAAGCGTTCGGCATTCCAAAAACCACATTTAAACGCAGATTTTCAGCTAGTAATCTGGATAAAACCGACCGATTGGGCCCTGGTAGTGTACTTGGTAGAGAAGCAGAAATGAAGCTCTCTACCCACATAAAAAAATTGCAGAAAAGTGGTTTCGCACCCACTAGAGGGGAAGTGCGCGTTAAGGCATATAATTTAGCCGAACGTCTTGGAATTGAACACAAATTTAATCGAGAAGAGGGTGAGTTACATGAACTCTTACTTGAAATTTTAAAACTTTGTAACAAATTGTTGTGCACATTTTTAGGTAAAGCTGGTAATGTATGGCTGCTTCAATTTTTGAGACGAAATCCAGATATTACAGTTCGCAAAGCTGAAAATACCTCAATAGCTCGAGCGTTGGGAATGTCTAGAAATATTGTAGAGAAATATTTTAAAGAACTCGATGCTGTACTCTCTCAAAATAGTTTATTTGACAAGCCTGGCAATATATACAATACAGACGAGACAGGACTACAGCTGAACACGCGAGCAGGTGCTGGCTCAGAAAGGATCTAAAAGTGTACCTTCAATTAGCCCGTGCGAAAAAGGTGAAACAATTACAGTAGTTGCCTGCTGTAATGCAGAAGGGGTTTATTTGCCTCCTTACTGCGTGTTTAAGGGGAAAAATGCTAAAGCAGAATGGGCTGACGGAATGCCACCTGCCTCACGTATTCGCATGTCAGAAAAGTCGGCATACGTGACGTCAGACATTTTCCTGGACTGGCTACAAAACCACTTCTACCCCAGAAAAGTACCCGGGAAAGTCTTACTAATAGTAGACGGACACACTTCTCATACAACCAATCTTGACACGTTGCAATTTGCCGAGGACCACGATATAATTTTGTTTTGTTTGCCTAGCCATACAACACATTATTTACAACCGCTGGATAGGGCATTCTTTAAAAGCCTGAAGGGGCATTATTATGAATCGTGTAGGAGGATGATCAAATGCAACCCCAATAGAAAATTAAATCGGTTGCAATTTGGCAAACTTTTAGGGGAGGCTTGGGGCAAATCGGCTACAGTCAACAATGCCGTATCGGCCTTTCGGTCAACAGGAATTTGGCCTTACAATCCGAATGAAATTCCCGATCACGCTTTTCTAACCCAACCTCCAAATGAGGCTGCAATACATGCAAGAGAAGAAGAGGAACAAACTGGCTCTACAGCAAAATTAAGGGAAACTGAGACCCTTTCTCGCGATGGTGACTCACCTCAACCAGGCCCTTCCGGAATGCACCTTCCTCTCTACCATGAATCGCCTCAACCAGGTCATTCAAAAAAACAGTTGGGAAGTGTTGAAGAAGAAGAAACACCTGGGAAGCTACTTCAAGAACTTTCACCTGTACCCCAGATAACCCCAGCTATCAGAAAAGCTCGTGTGAACCTAATGGGTGACTTAACTTCACCCAATCACATAGCCCTTGTTCGTCAGAAAAAACAAAAACAAAGCCAAACACCTCATCCAAAGGGACAGAGAAAGGAAAAACCTTCCAAAAACAAATTACCGAAATCTACAGATCAAAAGTTGCAGAAGAAACGCAGACACGAGTCTACTTCTTCAGAATCTGATGGAAACGTAATCTTGGATGATTCATCTAGTGGGGAAGAAACGTTGGATGATATCGAAAATCAGTGCGTCGGGTGCCTCGAAGACTATCGCCTTACAAAGAAAAAGGAGGAATGGTTACAATGCATTGTATGTTCCAGATGGTTGCACGATGGTTGCACATCCTACACCAACACATGCCAACGCTGCGGTGCCGCCCCCACTTTAAAAAAAGGGACAAAAACCCTAAATTAATGGATGGTCCATCTCTCCTTTTCATATAGGTCCATCTCTCCTATCCCCACTAGGATAGATGGACCAATTACGATTTTTAGTTTTTTAGAATTTATAATTATTTGTCAAGTTATATTAACCATTAAACTTTACCAAAAGGACCACGAATGTTTATGTTAACGTTGTACTGTTTTGTAGACTTATATTCTTATAAATAAAGAAGTTATCGAAAAATGTTTAAAAGGTGGTCCATCTCTCCT